AGGCAATGCAAAGAAGGCCTCTTTTGGATTTCACCACTGTTGATTTGGTCCTTGTCCTTGGAATCGGACTGTTGAGCCTGCATTGCTGTTGGACTGTAATGATATGTGGCTCAGAGGACCACTGGTGCTGGATCCATTCTGTGTTTGTGCAAGCTGGTAAGTCTGTGGTTGACTTGTAGAGTGTTGTTGGACATGGATGTAGTTGCCATTATCATCCATGCTGAGGGTGTAAGTTCCCGGCCCAAGGTTCCCAGCGCTTGATGCAGAGTTTGAATTTCCTTGTCTTCTTTGATTGTTCTGATTCCMTCCGTTATTGCTATTGTTTCTTTGGCCGTCTCCCTGGAAATTGTTACCTTTCCTGTTGAATGGACACTCTCCCCACGTGTGCTCTCCATTGTGCTTTCTGCAGGGCCTTGCATTGATCTTCTTCTGTCTCTCATCTTCATTGCCGGCACTGTTGTTTCCTTGTCTTTGCTTCTTTCCCTTCCTAGGCCAGTCCAAATGCATTGAATCTGTCTTTGCTGCTCTTTTCTTAGACTGATTGTATAGTTGCTCTTCATCCGCTATTCCTTTTGGTCTGTCATATACTGCACAATTTGCTCAATGATGTTGTTGAGAATGTCTCTTCCACATCTGATGTAGTCATTCTGCCAAGACTTGGGAAAGGATCTAAAGAGAATCTGCTTGATCTCTCTATCAGATAGTGGCTCCCTAATGCCATGAAGGATGTTGGCTCTAGCACAACAGGTTTCAACTCTGTCAGCATGGGCCTGGCAGGAACTAGTGTGGGGCTTCCTGATAGTGTCTGATTGCAAGTATTCAATAGCTTCATCCCGAGCTCTCTTAGATGGTGCATAGAACTTCCTGTAGGTGAGTAGGGCTGTCTTCCACTGTGCCAAATTGGTCCTCAGTACCTCTGCTAGTCTGTTGTTGTTCCACATGCTATTCCACTTCTGTCTGGGTCTGTGTGCAAGGACCATCTGCCACTTCTGATCTATCTGATCCTCTGGTAGCTCCAAATCCACTATGGCGTCTTCAAAGTCTTCCTGTACATGAAATAGTTCTTGCACTCCATGCTCTCCAGAGAAGGTTAAGCAGTTCCTTGTTAGCTTCCTTACTGGGCCTCTAAGGTTCACAGTAATGGAGACTGTCTTCAGTTGGCTTGAGTCGAAGCTGTTTATTAAGCTGAGACAGGATCGATGTTGTTTGGGGGAGGAGTTCTTATTTGATTTCACCATGGTCAGTCGACTTGTTTGGTTATTTTCCTTAATGGATGATTAATTTGGATACACAAAACCGAGTAGTAATTACTGTGCACAAGATTACATGTACTTTAAGTGTATAAGAAATAAAATTATAAGATTAAGATTATTAAGTTTCGACGTAAGCTTTCCAAAGCTCCGATTAGATCTTGTGTAGCTCTTGGTACTGAATCTACACAGGATTCTTATTATTCTGATCAATTGACATCTTTGTTCTTTACGAGATAATCTATCTCTGGATATCTTGGACCTCTCACGATGGATCCTATGATGCATATACATGAATAGTACCTTTCGATAGGTACGTAGGAATGGTATGTCCCTTCATTCCTTTTATCAAAGCATCGTTTGTAGTACGTATCCATTGCAGTAAGGGAAGCATACGTACATACTACGATGCCCCCTCGGAATGGATGACGTACCATTCCTACCTATATATCATAAGGTACCATTCGTACATATATATCATACAATCCAATGTACCAAGGATCCTAAGAGGACCAAGATACTATTCGAGAATACCTCACAAAGAACAAAGATGTCAGAAGTCCGGAACAGAATAACCCTCGTGTAGATTCAGTACCAGATCTACACAGGGATCTGATCAGAACTTCAGAACTCTTGTGAACGGGCTTGGTAATCTTCAAATAATTCTAATCTTATAATTTCAATTTTATACACACTAAAACATACTACTAAGAGTGCACGTATCTCGTGCAGAAGATATTTTTTAAGTACAAGAGCTCCTAATGCAGTCAAGTGCACCTAAGTCAAGTACTTGGCAATTCCGGACCTCCAGGGCCGGCTGGTTTGCCTGCCATGCAAATGTATCCCCTGTACATTACAGCACTGTGGTACTAATCCTACATAATCTACATACATATTTTCTACATCAAATTCAGTACTGAAATACCTCCCTCCAATGCTGCATCCACCAAAATACAAGCAAACACATCAAAACAACTCATCTGCAAGCGTTCATTTGTAGTCATTGGCAAGCATTCATTCATACTCAAGCAATTTGTGTTGGCGTTTCCGGATACTTGACAAGAAACTGACTTGTGGGCGCATTTGCATTTGTAGATACTCAAGGAACTGGTGTGCAGGCGCCTTTGCGTTTGCAGATACTCAAGGAAATGACGTGTGGAGGCTTCATACTCAAGCAATTCGCGTTTGCATTTGTGGATACTCACCAAGGAACTACCAAATGGAGGCTTTATACTCAAGCGATTTGCGTTTGCTTTTGCGGATGCTCAAGGGACTGGCAAGTGGAGGCTTCTTACTCAAGAAACTGGTGTGCAGAGGCTTCAATACTCAAGGAACTGGCGTGCGGAGGCTTTGTACTCAAGGGACCAGCTTGCAGTGCAGATCTCCGTAGTCAAGTTATTTGCGTTGTTTGCGGTTTGTGGATATGATACTCAAGTGTGGATCTCTGTATTGTGGAGTGTGTATTCAAGTGGCATGCAGAGGCTACAATTTGCGTTCTTTGTGGATACTCAAGCAAATCTGAAGGGTGCAGTGCCAAGCCAATATGTCTACTGACCAGCCAGTGATGGTAGGAAGAGAGCATATTCATCATGGACAAGATGATCTTTGTCATCATGGAAGTGGGATATGTCACCAAAAAAAAATCTTAATATTATATTTAACCTCGTGAGCTAGAAGAGGCACTATATGGCCAGAACCATAGCTTTCGTTAGAAAGAATGCTCCTAGCTGCTCCGAGGGGCAGCACTTTCCTCCAAGGAGTGTTAGTGGAAGTGCAACCAGGGGTTTGTTTCACTGGAATTAAAAGTATTGACTGAGCTTGGTTTGAAGTAAACTGGAAGAATGGACAGGAGGAGCCAAAGAAGTCTCTGGCATGGCAGGTTGTTTGTGTCGCTTCTTTTTGGAGTAGGCGTCAAAGACCAGTGAATCTTGTGTGACGCTCTCCGGTGGTTGCTTACTATGTGGCAATGATGTAAAGTACTGGGTAATTGGGCGGGTGTTGGAGACAGAGGCAAGTGTTGCTTTGGTGACACTTGCCAGAATCGTTTCCTCGTAGACTCGAAGGTAATATGTGAGCATAGAAGTAGATGCAGTTGATAAAAAGGTTTCCATGTCTTCTGGGAAGAGGTGGGTGTGGGATGGACATGTCTGTGATTTCAGTTCAAACAGAGTGCGGACTTTTGTCACCACCCGCTGTCGATGCTTTGCTTGCTTCTGGGTAAGTGTGTAGCCATGAAGATCTTTGTTTCGCTGTTTCCATAATGATATATAAGAGGTAATAAAGAATTCCACAAGATAACCCCCAGCACGATTGGGGAAGAAGTGGGATATGTCACCATAAGGGCAACGTTTGTGGGTATTCAAAGAAGGACTCCCATTTCTTCAAGACAATCAGTGTTATCAATGAGGAATGACTGGATGATTTTGTACTAGTACAAGACATGTTGAACATTGAAAAAAATCTTAATTTTATATTTTACCTCGTGAACTAGAAGAGTCACTTGGGTGGCCGGAACCATAACTTTTTGTTGGAAAGTATGCTTCTAGCTGCTCCAAGGGGCGACACTTCCCTCCGAGGAGGTTTCATGGAAGTGCGACCAAGGTGTTGTTTTGGCTGAGAAATTAATTGAAATAGTTGTTCATAGTAGTTTGTATGGTACAGGTAGTTGTGGTAGAGAAGGGATGTAGGATATTTCTCTGGAGAAACGGTTCCAGTGTCTAACTATTTGGTAAGACATGTAGCTAGAGTATCAGTGACAATTGGTTGGAAGCCAAGTGTGGACATGCGTTGTCGTAGAGAGGTGATATTCTGTCTCCGCCAGTTGATGTGTGATGGGTGGGAACAGCGAAAGAGATGTTCGGAATCTTCAGGCGACTGGCAAAGACAGCAGGTATCCTGCTGTTGGTAGTTCCACCGTTTGAGAACTGTGGCAGTGGGTAGAATATTGTTGCAACATAAGACATGTTGAACATTGGTTCTTTCATTGAGGTACTGATACAAAGTGCACAATGATACACTCATACAAATTGCTGATGTGGAGGAGTACACTGATGTGGAGCACATGGTGGTGATTCACTGATACAGAGTACACTGATACAGAGGAAGTACACTGATACAGAGCACATGGTGATTCACTGATATGAAGGAAGCACACTGATGCAGAGTGCATTGTAATTCACTGGTACAGAGGAAGTACACTGATACAGAGGAGTACAAGAGTGTTACTGTACTAATTCTTAGTAAAGCAAAACTGATACTACAGAGGAGTACACTGATAGAAATTATGTTGATATGGAGGAGTAGCTGATACGAGTTGCTGATATGGAGGAGTACACTGATACAAATTATGCTGATACCAAGGAGTACACTGATAAAAATTATGCTGATATGGAGGAGTACAATGATACAAATTATGCTGATATAAAAGATTATGGAGGAGGATGCTGTTGATATGGAGAATACTGTTGTGGAGGAGCTCAGTTTTAAAATTATGAAATACAAAATCTGAAAAAAATCAGGCAAAGCAATGGGTGAAATGGGTTCAGGTGCTGAATAAATCCTGGCGCAGCCCTCAGCCATTCTCTGCGCCAGAATTTTCTCAGAAGTTGGAAGACAATTTTTAACGTTTGTTTTTGCGTACACAGTTATTTCTAACGTACTTTACCAGTAAAAATGAGCAAAAATTATTTGTTAGTGTTTCTGTGGGAATTACCAAGTACTTGACTATAGTGCACTTGACATTAGGAGTCCTCTTAAGTACATGATTTGTTGAGCAGATTGCGGGTACAAACGGTAGTTATTTTTTGCACCTCACCTAGTTACAAACCGGCGCGGACTGAATTTTGAAAAAAAACCCTTCCTTAAGAGAGGCCCAAATTTTCTTCACAATAGTACTAGTAGTAGTAGTGTGGTTACAAAAAGGTGGGTCTGGTTACCAAAGAAACGCACAGTGCGCTTTGCGTGTGCTTATAACCAGGCAAATGCACCTCAACGGGTACACACACTGGTGTTAAGTACAAAAAAGAAAATTAATAGGGAACTTGTACAGACTCATGTAGAAAATACACTAGAAATCATAGTTTCCTGGGATAGATTGGGATTCGTCAGAACAAAATTTGCTTTCCGAGAAGCAACCACTCCGGTGATACTTTCTTCGCAATGAATATGATGAGGTCGATAACTTTTGTGCATAGAATCTGTTTATTCCAATGTTGTTCTTTCGCAAATGAGTTTCTTCGTGGATTCCATCAAAAATCGTTCAAATTGACTTGTGTCTACACGTCGCACGAAAGTACGAAGCATAAACAATACTGGCACATTTACTGAAACCAAGAATTAATTTCCTTGTCGTCTCAACTCTTCTAGCAATGAACGTCATTGAATCTACTCGTTGATAGTGTCGTTTACGTCTACTAATCCACCTCCGTTGGGCCAGAAACAGGCATACCCCATTTGTGCCATTCCGGCGGGTCTGCAACTTCGGCTTGTATCTGTTGTCATCACCGAGTTTGCATTTTGTTTCTCTTCGGCCATTTCGAGTTCATTGCGAGCTTTCCGAATGCCCACATCTATCCTGTGAATTATTTCGAAGGGTTTGATGGGTGCCAGCACACCAACGGCTGCACGAACGGCCCACTCCGGTACGTCTCGACCACAGTTGCAGTGCGATAACATGACGATCTTCGTTCGTTTGCTCGGAAAGTCGGGGCATCTCGAAACGTAGGTCGCCCCCCGCAAACTAAATGCTCGATATCCACTCAAGTTTCGGATACTGTTCTGTCCGTTGCTACCGGTAATATTCAACGTAGCATTAGGGTGGTCGCAAGCTTGATTTGTGATCAATTGGGTCCCGTCTTTCAACCATCTGTGCCGACAATATGTTACAAAATCTCTTGGTTGGATAAAAACTTTTTCGTTCCGAACAAAGAATATTTCGTTTTGAATGCACGCACAATTCGTTTCGCTCCGTCAGGCACCACGTCGTCGAAAAAATCAACAAAAAGATAGATCAATCGAAATTTCCACAATCCTAGACTTACGAAGTTTCTTTGATTGACTCCAACAAATTTTTGAATGTGGAGTCAAAACCTCCACATCTTCTTGATCAATCAATAAGCTATTGTATTCGCGGAAGCGATTCTTTTCCGAAAGATATCGGCAGACGATTGGAAAAGGGGCGTCGATCGTGGCAATGAGTTTCATGCAGGGATGTTTTTGCTTGTCGTCGGGATCGGCATCACGACCACGCGAATCTCTCATCCATTTCACCCATTGGCGCGGAGTTTGAATCGTAGATTTTCTATCTCCCATGTTGAATTTCTGCCGAAAGGTCTTTGCGCAGAATATTTCCGTCCAACTATCTTGATCTTCAGCTCCAAGAATGTTGCGGTCTTTCTTGGTGTCGTCGTCTCTCATTATTTCTTCTGCCCACTTTTCTACATCTCTTCCTATTCTCTCGAAATTGTCGTAATATACTCTCTTTGCGAGAGGAATTTGGTTATCGCCACTTTGTTCTTCACTCTCGATCACTTCAGTTGCATCGCTTGGCTCGAATGATTCGTAAGTCGTCCTAGGAATTCCATAGTAAAATCCAAAAGATGCCGTAGTTTCACGCTTTCGTAGTATCAGTGAACGCATTTGATCCTTTATGTTTTTTACCGATGGAACACTGCTCTGATTTTTCCAAGTGGTGCAGGTGCACCGGTCAATCCCTATTGTAAGCATGAGCGACCACCAGCAGAAAAGAACAACGAAATTGCGATGGCGACGACGGCTGCTCGGCCTAGTCGTTCTTGCATTGATGCCGATCCCTGTTGCATCTTGGCTGCGACGCACAAAAGGAGTCCGCGAATAACTAGTTTCTCTCGCTGGACTTATTGTTGTCAACGGCTTAGACGGTCCTATTGCTTTGTATGGATACATCACTCGTGTGCATCCAAAGAAACGTCCGAGAGCCGTGCTTTATTCATGAAGCAAACAAAAAACCGATCGTTCCATCATCGTAACACCGAAGTGCAGTTGTTCTTTATTGGTCTGCTTCGGTGGCAGTGGAAGTCGAAGGCACTGTATTAGTAGTAGGAATTAGTGTTCAATAATAACCTGACCCAGAAGGAGTATAGACCCCAGGGCGGTTTCGGCCGACGATTTTTCTACTGGAGAGCGAAATTCTGGCTGGTTTTTGATGGTCCCCACACAAACACTCACAAAATTGTTAGGGTCATTTTTACAGTTAAAAAAAAATGTTTCAAATTATTTAATTTCTTGCTGGTCCCTAAATATTTCTATTAGAGGTCCTTACTACTGGAGAGGTAAATTCATCGGTGACTACTTGAGAATTACTATTAGGGCTTGCTACTGGAAAACCTCTATTACTACTTACTACTGGGGATGTTATAGTAATGAGCACTGCAAACTGCCGTGTTAGGGGTTTTTGTTGGTGCTGCTGCGAGACTCGCAGCACAAACAAAAAGAACCCCTAACACGGCAGTTTGCAGTGCTCATTACTATAACATCCCCAGTAGTAAGTAGTAATAGAGGTTTTCCAGTAGCAAGCCCTAATAGTAATTCTCAAGTAGTAACCGATGAATTTACCTCTCCAGTAGTAAGGACCACTAATAGAAATATTTRAGGACTCGGTAGTTTTTGTGTGTGGAGGGGGGGGAGAGGGGAAATGGAGATGGGAGAATAAAAAAAAATCGAATTTTTGTCAAACGAAACATCTCTGGGGTCTTTTTAGTCATTCTGATATATATATATATATATATATATATATATATATATATATATATTGTACTAATTCGTGCGTAGCGGTTATCAGATCCTTCTCGGATCTAGCTCTAGATATCGTATAGCGTGGGCCAAGCAAAAAAGCACGGTTATAACCATACATTAGCAATTCAAGACATACGTAAACAAATATCAGTCAATATTCCCCCACACCATTAGAAAGCTTTTTGAATTCTCTTCTTAACCATGTGCTTATTGTCTTTCTGCGACCATTGAGGAAAAAGTTACAGCCCAAACTGTCAGTTCAAGACTGAAACAGTTATACGGTTAAATTATACGTGTGCGTGGATTAGCTGCCATCTACTAATTACTACCGTGTAAAGACTACTTCGACTCAACGGATTTGAGTACCACAACGGACACTTTACAACTCACCGACAGACAAAATTGCTCACTAAATTTGGCCACTAATCGTGTGAACTCATATCTTGGCAATTCCACTCCTTGATACAATTGTTCTGTTTCYGGTTTATCAGAAGGAACTGTGACGGATGCATTTCCCCGTGCATTTAACACAATGTATCGATCCCATTTCTTTCTCTTAAAATCGATCGAGAACAATACACGCTGTGACCGACAGCACCCCTGCTAAGTATGGAGGATACTGCTGGAAAAAGCAAGGAGCAGCATAATAAGCAAACTAACAACAAGCAAAAGAAGCAAGATGAGCAA